GAATATAACGCTGCAAGATACACCATGTTAAAACCTTGAACATTTTATGTGAAATGTGCTCTGATCAGCAAGTCGCTTAAAGGTCAAGAAGGGAGGCTTGGGGTGAAAGTAAGGGATGCATTCCTGCATTCTTCGATTCTGTTGTAGTGTAGCTCTGTTTCTCCAGTCTGTGTTTTCATTGTCAGCTGTGATTTGAATAGAACAGTGGAACAGTTGGTTTCTTCATCACTTCTCTTGTCTAATGAAATTTCATAACAGTTCTCAGGGTCTGATTTTTTAGATCCTTACAGAATAGTGCGACAAATAGAGTTAATTGCTTGCCATTTTTAGACTTGCTGTCTTTTTTTAGTCACTGTGTGCAAAAACGTCTTGCCTCCTTTTCAGCGTTGGCGCTGTGGCTTAGTTGGTCAAAGCGCCTGTCTAGTAAACAGGAGATCCTGGATTTAAATCCCAGCAGTGCCTAATCTACAGGTGCCAGGGTTGCTTTTTGTTAAGAGTAACGAGTGTTACGCAGCGGGATGTTAAGCAGTAGGTTTCTTAACAAAACTCAAATCCTTAAGAACGCTGCTCGTTCAAGAGGGCTTTGGACGATGGCTTTATATAGCATAGTGTGGTAATGCCTAACCAATTGGACTTTAATATTTCAAGTCCAGACATTCACACATGCAGCGCTACCGTTGTTTGTTTTTTTTTCTTTTTTCGAATTAAACAATTGGCCCCTTTCACAATCATTTGTCACTGTGGCTTAGTTGGTCAAAGCGTCTGTCTAGTAAACAGGAGATCCTGGGTTTGAATCCCAGCAGTGCCTTAGGTTGTTTTCCGCTTTGGCCTAGGGAAAATCTTACCCGTCTTAGGGAACCCCCCTTCGTGCCCATCGGTCAACTGCCACTCACACTGCAAGCTCCTGTGCAGGCTTCCTCCTTGATTTAGAATTTTCTGCAAACTTGGGAAAGCGCAGTCAAGAACCATGAAAGCCATTGAGACTACCTACTAGAATTTAAACATTGAGACAGGTTAATCAAACACTTAAATCAACTGAATATCAAGCTGAGATTATTCAGGGAGTTTAGATATCACCCTGATCCATTCAGTGTCATGGTCTGCTACCTCAGTATAGCCATCAGGCCCTGTATGTGATGGTGGAGACTAAGGATAAGACAAAAGTTACAAACAGTAATAAACCACTGAAGACAAGACAAGAAATTTCCAAACAGTAATAACAACTGTTCAAATTAATTATCTCTATAGCTCAGGGGGTATATTAGTGTTTTTCAAAGTGCGTTTAACAAAAGCATTTTCATTCACTCATTTCTCTGTTCACTTAGTCCCTTTATTAATCCGGGGTCGCCACAGCGGAATGAACTGCCAACCTATCCAGCACGTTTTTATGCAGCTGGTGCCCTTCCAGCTGCAACCCATCACTGGGAAAATAAACAAAAGCATTTTGCAATCTCTTATTTGTTAAATTTGATTTTTAATTACTAATACCTCCATGAGTGCATACAAATTAAAATGTAGAAACTCTGTATTCATTCTAACATTTCATTTGCATCTGTGTTTTGTGATTTCCAACTGAGCACTGTGCTTATCAATTGTTATGGAACAGGCAGATATCAGCTCTTAGCTGACATCTAATGAGAGAGAAAGAGAGTTTTGAGCAATCCAGAATGAAAATGCATGTTTACTGAATTTAAACATACATTAAACATAACATTAACTTCAATACATAATTTTGTTGTAATATCTTTTTACTCAAGCCCGTCCTAAAACATATAAAACAGAGTTGACTTGCATTTTCAAAGTAATGCTGTTACAGTCAACAATAGTTTTAGATCTTTCAGGGGTTAACTGCATCCATCAAAGTATTATTTGAAACCCCCATTTATGTTACATATATATTATTAAAAAAATATATATCCAACCATAAAGCTGCTTGTTTGCACAGACTTACATGGCACATTATTATTTTTTTATTCAGACATGTCTCTGTTACTTTTACAGCCAAAACCAAGCTCATGTTGAGGTCTAAACCAAGATAGCAGTGCAGTCACACAGAATCGTATCTTCTAAGACAAAACATAAGCTATTCTTTATTCCCATAATGTTACTGTCAGTTTCTGTGCTTAGTTCTTGCTACTAGCCCCTCAATATTTAGATTTTAGCTTTTCAATGACAATTAAATACCAAAGGAATACTTTTTTTCTTCTTACAATCAGTTCTAAAATCATTTTTAAACCTGAGAGCTTAGCTGAGCCATTTACTGCATTCTGCTCTCATCTATTTCTTTTTATATCTGAGTTCAACACCAAAAGCAACAAGAAATTGAGAGGGCACTCTTACCAACAGCGCTTGGCTTCTGCTTGATGAATCTGCAAACCATCCCAAGATGTGCAAACTGTCCAGACCGGTCCAATCCAGTTAGGGTCATAATTTTCTCGGGATTGCTCCTGGTGCATCATTGATCAATCAACCTCACCCTGATATTTCTAGGTATCTTATCTGACTTTTGTGGCCACTACTATTTAATGGATCCCTATTATAATGTTATTTTGTTATTTTTATTCAATTATTTCTTACCCTAATAATCTGACCTACACTATTCTTATGGCATGCCTTTTGTCTGTGATGCAGTTAGATAGCAGTGGTGGAACTCAATTACAATCTCGGGTTAATTTAGTCCACTACTAAATAGAAAACCAGTCCAGGTTTTATGCCCGAGAATGTCCCAAAAGCCTCCTAAACACCCATCAAATGAGTACTCTAACTCCGGGTGAAGGAGAAGGTACACCTCTCATCTACTGTTACACTTATCAGTATCGCTATAGGTGTAGCACAAAATGCACCAGCTCGCTAAGGGATTCCACAGCAATCTACCACAAAATCCTGTGAATCCACTGGTGCCTTTTATTCACGTCTGAATAAGAACCAACAACATTCATTCACGTCTGAATGAGAACCAACAACGTTCCGTTACTACCCACTACTTCACAGACAATCCCTAGTCTTATAATTTTTTAATCTTCCTACCTTCATTTTGTTGATTGATCAATGGTGTTACCAGTAAACAAGTGCCCGCATCCTCCACCAAAACTGTAGGGATAGTTTACAGTTTAACCCAAAGAATGACCAGTCTGGTAGATGAAGAGGAGCCGGAGTCAGAGATTTAAAAAAAAAATAAATTAAGTTTACTGAAGATAGTTTGCAGTTTCATTCGCAGAAGCCAGCTTCAACACTCGCAATGAGTTCCTAGGCCGCTCTGCTTACAGTTTCAACAATCGAACAATTATACTCTTTACACAAGTCCAGAAAGGGTGGGATCCAGGTAAACAGTTCTCATTGGTTACAACAGAAATAGACAATTCCAAATACATGCGTCAAAGAAACATAGTATCTACTTCCAGATATGGATGGCCTTAGTGTGTGCGTCAAAGAAAGCCTTGTATTTGTATCCAGATGTGGATGGCGACCTGATGCCTAGAGGTGAGGTCGCCCTAAGTTATTAGGAGCTGATCTCCAACCTGTAAAAAGCTAAACCAGGAACACAATAGACACAAAAGACCATCTGTGTTAAAGACTCAAGGATGTTTCTTGTACGTTCAGCTGTGTTATCAGGCTGGTTCAAGACTGTTTCCATCAACAGTCTGCTGCAATATCTTGGCTACACACAGTCACAGTCTGTCTCCACACAAAAAGGAATTACATAACTATTAATTATACTCAAAAACAGATCAATCAAAATGGCTATAAAATTATAGGCAATATATCAGGACAATAAAACAGGTGTCTTCTTCTCCTCTGTATTGGACCTCTAGTCATAGGAACAGATAGAGAGAGAGAGAGAGAGGTCTCCATGACCTATGACCTGGTTTGTGTGTCTCCTGAAAACAAAGTTAAAACAGACAGGCAAAAAGAGAAACAAGGACACAGAACATTCTTGCAGTAAGCAGTTTTAACTTATTCATTAGTTCAAATCAATTCACAGTTAAATACTGAGAAACAGGATGATGAAAAGGATAAACGGTGGTCCATGATGAGACGGATTGGAAAGCAGAAATCCGAATCCTTCATCCTTACACTGGCTGCCTGTTAAGTTTTGTATTAAATTTAAAATAGTAATTCTCACCTATAAAGCTCTAAATAATCTAGCTCCTGTTTATCTTCTGTCTCGCTACAATCCAACTCGCTCTTTAAGATCTCAAAACTCAGGGCTTCTGGTAGTACCTAGAATAGCAAAGTCGAGTAAAGGAGGTCGAGCCTTCTCTTTCATGGCTCCTACACTCTGGAATAGCCTTCCTGATAACGTCTGAGGCTCAGACACACTCTCTCATTTCAAAACTAGATTAAAGACCTATCTGTTTAGTAAAGCATACACTCAATGCATCACTTAGCGGGTTTCCAAACAAGTTTCTACATCTTGCTTATATACACTATGAACAGCAGCTACGCTAATTATTCTTTTTTTTATTTTCTTCATTTCCACCTGGGGATACTCATCCCGAGGTCCTCAGATTATGCGGAGTCACTGATTGGATCTAAGACCAGCGACGAGATGATCCCAAGGTTTCCATATCCGGGACCAGGCCGTATCCTGAGCTGCTGCTGCGCTGATGGTCGTGGGGAGTGGAGAACATGAGACTGATTCCAGCGATGCTCCAGGGACAGACGAGTCTTCGCTGAGGCCAGCTTCCAGCCTCCACTACTGAGACTGAAGCTCTGCACAAGACTTTTGGCCAGCGGAGAAATGAAAATGGTCGTGCCCAACTGAGTCTGGTTTCTCTCAAGGTTTTTTTTCTTCACTCCTATCAGTAAAGTTTTTTTTCCCTCTCCGCTGTCGCCACTGGCTTGCATGGTTCAGGATTGGTAGAGCTATGCATCAATGGATTTGCTCTTCAGTGTTTGGACTCTCAGTAATGATTAAAACCACACTGAACTACCCTGATCCAATTTATTATGACCATTTATGTGAAGCTGCTTTGACACAATCTACATTGTAAAAGCGCTATACAAATAAAGCTGAATTGAATTGAATTAAGTGCAAGTGAATGGTTTCTTCCCAGTGTGGCGCATCATGTGTAGAGTAAGGGATGATGATTCACTGAAACTCTTCCCACACTGAGTACACGTGAATGGTTTCTCTGCAGTGTGGATCCTCATGTGTCGATTAAGGTGTGATGATTTGTTGAAACTCTTCCCACACAGAGTGCATGTGAATGGTTTCTCTCCAGTGTGGATCCTCATGTGTAGATTAAAGTTTGATGATTGGCTGAAACTCTTCCCACACTGAGTGCATGTGAATGGTTTCTCTCCAGTGTGGATCCTCATGTGTTTATAAAGGGATGATGATTGGCGAAAACTCTTCCCACACTGAGAGCACGTTATTGGTTTCTCTCCAGTGTGGATCCTTATGTGTTGATTAAGGGTTGATGAGCGGTTGAAACTCTTCCCACACTGAGTGCAAGTAAATGGTTTCTCTCCAGTGTGGATCCTCATGTGGTGATTAAGGTGTGATGAGCGGTTGAAACTCCTCCCACACTCAGTACATGTGAATGGTTTCTCTCTAGTGTGGATCCTTATGTGTTGATCAAGGCGTGATGAGCGGTTGAAACTCTTCCCACACTGAGTGCAAGTAAATGGTTTCTCTCCAGTGTGGGTCCTCATGTGTTTATTAAGTGATGATGCTTGGCGGAAACTCTTCCCACACTGAGTGCACGTAAATGGTTTCTCTCCAGTGTGGATCCTCATGTGTAGATTAAAGTTTGATGATTGGATGAAACTCTTCCCACACTGAGTGCATGTGAATGGTTTCTCTCCAGTGTGGATCCTCATGTGTAGATTAAAGTTTGATGATTGGCTGAAACTCTTCCCACACTGAGTGCATGTGAATGGTTTCTCTCCAGTGTGGATCCTCATGTGTTTATTAAGTGATGATGCTTGGCGAAAACTCTTCCCACACTGAGTGCACGTTATTGGTTTCTCTCCAGTGTGGATCCTTATGTGTTGATTAAGGGTTGATGAGCGGTTGAAACTCTTCCCACACTGAGTGCAAGTAAATGGTTTCTCTCCAGTGTGGGTCCTCATGTGTTTATTAAGTGATGATGCTTGGCGGAAACTCTTCCCACACTGAGTGCACGTAAATGGTTTCACTCCAGTGTGGATCCTCATGTGTAGATTAAAGCTTGATGATTGGCTGAAACTCTTCCCACACTGAGTGCATGTGAATGGTTTCTCTCCAGTGTGGATCCTCATGTGTTTATAAAGGGATGATGATTGGCGAAAACTCTTCCCACACTGAGTGCACGTTATTGGTTTTTCTCCAGTGTGGATCCTTATGTGTTGATCAAGGTGTGATGAGCGGTTGAAACTCTTCCAACACTGAGTGCAAGTAAATGGTTTCTCTCCAGTGTGGATCCTCATGTGGTGATTAAGGTGTGATAAGCGGTTGAAACTCCTCCCACACTGAGTGCAAGTAAATGGTTTCTCTCCAGTGTGGATCCTCATGTGTTGTTTAAGGTATGACGAGCAGTTAAAACTTATTCCACACTGAGTGCATGTGAATGGTTTCTCTCCAGTGTGGATCCTCATGTGTTTATTAAATGATGATGATTGGCGGAAACTCTTCCCACACTGAGTGCACATGAATGGTTTCTCTCCAGTGTGGATCCTTATGTGTTGATCAAGGTGTGATGAGCGGTTGAAACTCTTCCTACACTGAGTGCATGTAAATGGTTTCCCTCCAGTGTGGATTATCATGTGAATCTTAAGTTTGCTTTTGCTTGCCAAAATCTTTCCACACTGAGTGCAGATGAAACAATTCTTGTCTCTCCTTTTCAAAATACCATCAGTCTGTAAATGAGTTTTTTCCTCAATTTTGACATGATGTTCCTCCTCTTTACTCTCATTCTCTTCAATTAGGTCTGGAATAAATAAATAAAAGATTAGTTTTCATCAAGTCTAAAAATCTCTCATCAAAAGCTGAAAAGTAAAAAGACACTGGAAACATTGGCTACACACACTTATTTTGATGCATGTTAAATGTAAAATAAAATCAGATCATATTTTGTTCAGTCATTAATATGTACACATTTAAGCAGATTAAATTCATCTTTATTTATCTACTGCTTTTACAATGTAAATTGTGTCATAGTCGCCTAACATAGAAGTCATTGTAAATTGAAACGCTGTCAGTCTAGTTTTCAGAGTTTCTTACATAATTGATCATAAAAGTAATTTTGGTCACATTGATAAGACACAGATTTGAAAGGTGTAAATGGTGTGACGACAACGGTTTTCCAGTTTGGATGTGGCAGATCCTGATTAGGTGCCATGGTTGCTCCCCAATTGGTTCAAAGCATATAAATGCGAGAGTGAGCTAGCTTCTGTAGGATAGTTTGGCTACTGGCCGTCCTTGCATCAAGACCATCTCTTTATTTTGGCAACCTTATGGTTTTGTTTGACATTATTTATATGTGTAGTTAAAGTTTGTTATTTTCATCATGTTCCCCTAGACATTTGTTTGTTTCTTGATTTGTTGTTTTATTAGTTGTATATAATAAATAAGTTGCATATATAATTTTTTTGTTGTCTGAGCTCTTTTATGTTGCACCTCGAACGAGGGGTTCGTAACAATGGCCTATTTTTATTTGTATATATTCATAATTACAACAAAATGTTTTTCTAACATTTGTTTAGCAGACAGGGAATACTATGGATAGAATACTATGGATAAGATACTGTGGATAGAATGAAAGAACCGACAGGGGAAAGCAAAGAAGGAGGTGTTTGTTTCTTTATTAAGTCATGGTGAGATAAGAGAAACATACATCCAGTTAGATCATTTTGTTCTCCTGATCTGGAATACCTTATGCTTCGGTGCCAACCACACTGGCCACCAAGAGAGGTCACAGCTGTTATAAATACAGATGTTTGCATCCACCCTCAAGCCAACACACAGAGAAGGGGCTAAGGGAACTGAATGGGAGCATAAGCGAGCAGGAAACCACACACCCAGAGGCAGCGTTTATTGTTACAGGGGACTTTAACAATGCCAATCTCAGGAAAATCACTCCAAAATACTATCACCATATCACCACAAACATGCGTGGTGACCGAAATTTGGACAACTGCTATGCTCCGTTCCGGGAAGCCAACAAATCCCTCCCCCGCCCACCGCTAAGCAAATCAGATGACTCTTTTGTTCTGCTCTTGCCTGCTTACAGACAGAAACTGAAACGGGAACCACCCACCCTCAAGACGTTTCAAAGCTGGACGGACCAATCGAGTTCCATACTTCAAGAATGTTTTGATCATGTGGACTGGGAGATGTTCCGGGCAGCTTCTGATGACGACATTAAAGTTTACTCAAGACACCGTTACATGCTTCATCAGAAAGTGTATAGAAGACATGGTCCCAACAAAAACTGTTCGTATCTACCCCAACCCAAAACCATGGATTGATGGCAAAGTTCGAACAGCCCTATCAGTGTGAACCTCCGCCTATAAATCCACAAATGCTGAGGAACAAAAACAAGCAAACTACAACCTCAGGTAAACTATCAAAGCAGCAAAACATCAATACAGAGGTACAAGGTAGAGGGGAGGAGTATGTGGCAGGGACTTAATTACATCATAAACTTTAAAAGTAACAAACCCGCCACTGTAAACATTTCTGCATCTCTCCTGGACGAGCTCAACTTGTTCTACACCTGCTTTAAAGCCCAGGACAGCACCCACACACTGTGCGCTCCCGCGGCCGATACCAAAACCGCCAGCACACTCTGTTTCTGTAGCAGACGTAACAAGATCTTTCCGGAACATCCGGAAAGCTACGGCCCAGATGGCATCCCTGGACGTGTACTTAAAGCATGCGCACACCAGCTAGCGAGGGTTTTCACGGACCAAGGAGCTGGGAGAAGAGAGAACACACCCCCATCACCATCAACGGGACACCAGTGGAGAGAGTCAGCACTTTCAAGTTTCTTGGAGTACACATCGCTGAGGATCTGACATGGACTGTTCACACAGACGTAGTGCTAAGGAAGGCACAACAACGCCTCTTCTTCCTCAGGCGTCTCAGGAGGTTTGGAATAAGTCCTCACATCCTCCGCTCGTTCTACACCTGCACTGTGGAGAGCATCCTGTGTGGCTGTATCACCACCTGGTATGTAAATAGCACCAGCAGCAATCGCAAAGGCCTACATAGGATTGTGTGAACTGCTGGACGCGTAGTAGGAGGTGAGCTTCCCTCCCATCACGACATCACCAGGCGGTGCATGAGAAAAGCCAAGTGAACTATAAGCGACTCCAGCCACCCAAGCCATAGACTTTTCTCTCTGCTACCCTTAGGCAAATGGTTCTGCAGCATCCGGTAACGCACCAGCCAACTAAAGGAAAGCTTCTTCCCTCAGACTATCAGGCTGATGAACACTTAATACCCCTCACTGCACACAATGTATATGTGGCATGCACTGCACTTGAACCAATACATACCTAAAACAATACTGCCTACAACTATGGGTACACATATTCATTATACATATCGCTGTCAACAATTATAATGCTGCCAAATTATTTTGTACTATCTGTATTTTGCACTGTCATTATATTTGCACTGTCTGTATTTTGTACTGTCTAGAGCCAGCACCTAAGCTTTTCACTCATTATAGCACACGTGCTGCTGATGATGTGACAATAAAAGTGATTTGATATTCATGGCCATTTTTTCTTCTTTGGCCTTTATTATAGCAACATTTATATATACCCCTACATACAAAACCCACAGATACCTTTCGGGTGCTTCGGATGCTTCTGATAAATTTTTTCAACAGCCCATAAAATGGGTGGAGTAAAGACAAACTTTACCAGTTGGAATGTGCAGAGGCTAAATCACCCAGTGAAACGAAACAATTAAAATCAGTTAAAAACAGTTCAAATCCGATATTGTATATTTACAGGAGACACATCTGTTGAAAAAAGACTATTCTAAACTTAATAGAGGAGGCTATACACAAATATATTATTCAAACTTCAATAGCAAAAGTAGGGTCGTTGCTGTACTCATACATAAGAATGTAAAGTTTGTCATTGAGTCAAATGTGCTGGATAAAAATGGCAGAAACATAATAATCCAAACTTTTAACATGTCTGTGGTCCTGGCCTATGTGTATGCTCCTAATTGGGACAATGTACACATTTTCATTGATTTATTTTCAATTTTGCCTAGTCTTGACACACACAATTTAATTTTAGGAGGCGAACCTCCTGAATTTTATTCACCTGTGCATCAAACCTATTCCAGGATTGACCATTTTCTCCTGGACAAGCAGTTACGTCCCTTACGCCCCATTCACAAGGGGCATCAGCGTCAACGCTTCCCGTTCACTTTGAATGGGTGATGTCAGGCGTTGCCGAACTGCATTGTGGATTCGTTGACGCTGCTTCAGAAGCATTGTTCGCTGCAAAAGTTGGGACTTGATCAACTTTTCAAGCGGCGATGGAAGCATCAGCCAACAGATCGCTGTATGCAAATGCACCAGCTCAGACTGTGGCCTATTGCTGTGTAAATTCATTGGCTAAAGCTGCTATGACGATCACGTCAGCCCCAACTTCAGACACGCTTTCTGTCAAGCGTTGACGCTGAAGCCCCGTGTGAATGGGGCAATAATGTCAGCAGTAGTGTATGGTAGTATTGTTATTTCGGAACATTGTCCAGTCTCACTAAAGCTATGTTTTCAGGCAATGGAATCCTCCAACATGCATGGCGGTTTAACTCAAGACTCTTGGCAGACGACGATTTTGTAAAATTTATTGATGCTCAAATTTATTTCTTCCTTGAGATAAACGAATCCCCAGAGATAAGTTTGAGCATCCTATGGTATACTCTGAAAGTATTTATAAAAGCACAGATTATTTAATATCAAGCTAGCGCAAATAAAAGAATGTCAAAACGGCTTACAGAGATTATGAATTAAATAATACAATTGATCAGCTACTTGCCAGCTTACTTGCCAGCTACTTGATCAGTTTACTGCCAAGCTAACACCACTGTTGTGCAAGGTATTTGATGAAGCTCTTGTTTTGGAGACAATTTTTTTAGGTACTTTCAAGTCCATAGTTTCGTAAAAAAACACTTCTCTCCTTCACTGAACCAACCATAAGCATGTTGGATAGATAAATTGGTAAATATGGACTCATATCAAAGGGGTATGATGTCCATGTTATATGAAGTGGTCTAAAGAACTGCCTCCCCTTGCCTAAATTGTATAAAGCTAAAATGGGAAGACGGACTGGGACTAGAAATATCAGATACAGCCTGGCAATATGCCATAGAACTGGTACACTCATCCCCTGTATGTATTAGACATGGTCTTCTTTAGTTTAAGGTGCTTCTTAGGCTTCACCTATCTAGGAGCAAGCTGGCAAAAATGTATCCAGGGTCAGATTCATCTTGCCCCAGATGTGGTTTGGAGCAGGGGCGTTGCGAGGGGGGGGCTTTGGGGGCTTAAGCCCCTGATGTATTGTCAAAAGCCCCTGATCTCTTGGAATATATTGCACTTAAATAAAAATATGTTGTATAACATTTATTTTGTTATCTAAGTACTAAAAATGACCACATACATCACGAACATTCCACTTAACGCAGCGTTTGTGTTAGGTAATTAAATCGTCAGCTGTTCAGCAGTACCTGTTTCTACCGGCAGGTGGGAGTGGCTCTGTTGTCACATGGTGTTAAAAAAAATCCCGCCACTGCACTTCATTTATTCATTATTTTGAGGA